TTCTATATTATAACTGTTCCAGAAATTGTCTTCAAAGACGGTTGTGTGCGCAAGATTACTTAAAACCGAAAGATAACATCAGAGTTGAGAATAAAAAGTAACGATCCTCGCCTAGTAAATGCGTTTCCACGCTCGCAACCAAAATCGATCGTTATTGAAAGGACATGAGTCAACTTCTTTAGAAAAATGAATTCTATCAAGAAAATCGAAAACTATCAAAATAATCTCAGCATTTTACGCAGAAAAGCTTTAAGTCTTAACTTGATTTAAGGGGAAAAACGTTTATTCAATTATTTTTTTTAAATCTGCAAAAAGAATATCTATTATTAATAGTAAGAAATTTTTCTTACCTTTGAAAAAATAATATATGATAGTTACACGTGTAATATATTGTAAATGTCATTTAAAAACACGAATCTTTATCTTATGAATATATTTTCTTATTTTTAACAAATAGAAATCTAAACAAAAATAATGGAAAGGAAACGATGCAAATAATGAACATCGTAAAAAGAAAGCTGTATACAGACTGTAATAAAAGATGACACTGAAAAATGTAGCTCATTTATTTTGAATAAACGCTCAATACTTTGTTTTATCGTATCAAAGACAAGAAAGAAAGAGTAATACAGGAAGCGAGTTTTCATTAAAACATGTATTTCGTAAAAAGAAACCGTAAATTACCACACAATGAAAAGATACAGATATATTTAAAAATAAAATCAGAAACGCGCCGTAACAAAAATTCGTCTTATTAGCTTTCATTCTCCAAAAAAAATTTCATATCAGCCGTTGTTCGTGTAAATAGCAAGGAGCTAGAAGTGTCGTAATTTTTCTTCAAATGCATACCTAGAATAATGACGTTAACGATAAAGTTACGTCAGAAACGCAGAAATTAACGAGTTCTAACGTAAAGCCAACAAATATTCTCGCATATTTTCCAAACTCTTTCCGTATCATAATACAAGTGTTCCTAAAGCGTAACAGTTTCCCTGAGAAAAAGTATCACTATTTATATCTACTTCTTGAAACTAACGTTTTGTTTACTGTGTATATTGTGCTACGATAAAAGTAAATAAGGAAAATAAGACATTTGATGCACGAAGATGTTTGATGATCAAACGAGGAACATAGCGAGCTTACAAACTGACGATCTCGCTCTTCATAAGCTACATTTACTCATGTACCGTTTATATTCGTTCCTCATATTTTTAGTATGGTTAGAATTTATAAGGACCTATAACGAAGCGAAAACAGCACGTGTCAGCTGACAACGTATTTTTCCATCAGCGGTACGTAATCTCTGAAATTTTGTCGGTGAAATAAATTCAAGCAACTTTCCTTATACTGATATATACGTGCGTGCGTGTGTGTGACACATATATGCGTGCACATGAGAGATACGGGTTCACATAGAAAGTCACGTAAAACCTTGAATGTTTAATAACAGACGTACGTGTGATATCATGTGTAAAGTGGTTCCTCCAAGTTTAATTTCACCGATACTAATCTCTAATTTTTAATATAAACGGAAAGATAGATACATAACTTATATTCTTAAGAGAAAATTGGACATTTAATTATAGATAACGTCCGTTATACTTATGGCTTACATTTTATTCTATATAAGTAATATAAAAGAATAAAAAAACTTAAACAAGTTAAATACTAAAAAAAAAGCAAAATTGCAGATTTTTATATTTTATCTTTTTATATTATGTTATATTTGTATATTTAATTTTAAAAGCAAAACTCTCTCTCTCTCT